CAGTACTATGTATTGAAAGTGTATATTCAGTATAAAGAAAGAATAAATAAATAAATAGATAATCGGAATTTGTTATTATTATGTGTTTTGTTTTAAAAATATTAAGCATTAATAAAAGTATGGCGACGTAATAGTATCGCATTGTCCTTTAACAGGATTATAATTTGAAACAGTTCTTTACGACAGACAGGAAACCATCAACCTTATCAATCAATAAATGAATAAATATATTATTATAATGCATTTGACGGAATGTGGGGTCATCACATTAAGTTGGTCACATGAACATCTGGAACTCTCATTAAGTGCCAGGTATATTTAAATTATTTTTCCTCCTTAAATTTATAGATTATAAGTAAGAACTTTAATATTTCTTTAAATTTTCAGTCTAATCCAGGAAGCAAGCCTTCGTTTTTAGTCCATCCAAAAACCGTCATTAGCCCTCATACTACTGAAGAGGTCAAAGTGATATTCATGCCCAAACATCCTGGCATTTACATAGCTGAAGTTCATGTAGCCTCTAGCCCAGTTGTTGCTGATAGTGAGGCAGCATTGGTGCAGGCATCTGCTCCACAAATAGTGACCATACAAGGTTTGGCTGAGAAGCCTAATATTGAGGTATGTCAATTGACAATTTTACCCACATTGTGTCCTTAATTACCAAGTACACTCTTTAGGCACATTCTGAGACTTCAACAAAGCCAATGCTATTGGTCATTGCAGTGGTGCGCTAGAGCTAGGCCCCATGCAAGCAAGAATTATATCACAAAGTCGGTTAGCTTTAAAGCAGACACCATCTTTCATATCTACACGATTTCTTCCAGCCTTGTAATAGAACTCAGGATGTCAGGACTGAGTATCAGCATGATATAATACTCTTCTCTTCTTTTCTAATAGGTACTGGAATCCGACGAGGGCAGTGTAAACTTTGGCAACGTTAACCAGAACACCTCTGAGTCAAAAAGTATTATGTTGGTGAATCGTGGAAGAGCAACAGTGCCCATAAGAATTTCTCTCATTTCTGTAAGTACGCTGATGATTTCTTTACTACAAGCTCTTAGATGTATGCAGGATTGATCTATCAGCAATATCTTGTGGTTTATTTGCTCACCTACATGCAACTTTTTGTAAATGTTCTGCCAATGAATGAGCCATGTTATTCATGCAGTTTTTTTCCCAGATTACTTCCTAACTTTCATTATCATTTTTTTAATTATTATTGTAAAAGCCTTCCATTATTTCTTGTCATCCTACTTCATTCTATTTTTTTCTCCTGTCCTCTTCCGAATAGACCATATGTGGGCAAAGTGCGACCTGGCAGTTATTTTCTTGTGGCCCATGAAAATAATTGAAAACCCTATGTGTGCAGCCCACCAATCATCTTTGGCTACAAATCCCCTTTTTTTTTATGGTTGGAATAGTATAGCTGAACGCAAGGTGGTATAAAAGCAGTGCATGAAGGATTTTGGAAACATGCTGGAAAAGTTTAGATGTAGCCATCAGTTTTCAATCAGTCAATCAACCAATCAATCAATCAATGGATTTAAATCAAAAATTCACTTTGGCTCGCTGACCCATTTTAATGCCCACCCGGCAATAGACTGTCATGTGGGAGTATTCCTTCACATACAGGCAACTTGACAAATGCTACTCTTCTAATAGCAATCATTTTATTATCCTATTTTGCAGGGTTCTTTGATGCATCATTTAAGCTTTAATGTTGGTGAAAAGTCCATTGCAGGAATGGCAACCCAGCCAGTGCACACAACATTAGCAGGCCACGAGAATCAGGTAGGATCATTGCATACAGAGAACAAAAGTCATAAAACAGTCTGAAATGTTGAAATATAGTAATACTAAGTTGTACGATTTCACTTTTGTGTACTGTACTTAACTGTGGTTGGTATTAACTTTCTGCTATTTAGTATAAATAAACTTTAATTCCAATATATGTATTTTCTTGCTCAATATAGGCTGCTGAACCTCCGTCTGTAGCTGTCTGGGTCCACATCAAATCATCCGGTAAGCTAAGCAGCAGCAGTAGTAGTAGTGGTAATTTAGGCCCCCCTGATGTCATTTCTGGACAGCTGCAAGTGGAGTTTGACACCCCAGAGCAGCATGAATACCTAGCAGTACTACCCATCAAGGGACTTGTTGGAATAGCTAGACTCCATGCACCAAGAAGTTTACAGGTAAGATGTGATATAGGATCTCATAAAAGGAAGTTAAAAGATGTGGGGGTGGGAGGGGCAGTGGGATGTTTGTGGTACACAGTAGTCAATTGTACACAAATTAAACTTTTATGGTATAATGCAGCACTTTCAATTCTTTTTCTTTTTTAGACAAAAACAAAAGAAACCCATTTGTTGATAAATATAATCATAAGATCTAAAAATTCAGCTAAACCATTTTTTATGAATTTTTTTAGGTTTTGGAGTTTGCATCCTCCGTTGGTCAGCACTCTAGTCGTAATCTGCCTTTGAAAAATGCCGGTAACCTCAGGCTAGACATCCATTTGTCTGTTACTAGAGCTAAGGAATTATTCACCATGGTACCAGAGAAACTGTCAATAGAACCAGGGGATGACAGGGACATCTTGGTGAAGTACAGTCCTAAGGAAGCACCCTCAGAGGTAGAAAGGTATGTGATCTGAAAAATAAACCTCAACCTAAGAGGCTTAGCCTTTGGCGACCCACAAAGCTAGCCCCTGAGACCCACAAGGCTGGCACCATGCTGGCCCACAATGCTGGACCCCTAGGAGTTAATAATAATAATATCTCAAATTTATATGGTGCCAATTCCAAACAAGATCATAGGTGCACAAGAATTGCATCTGGTGGTTCTCAAGGCTGGCCTCTGGGGTTCACAAGACTGGCTTCCGGGGATTCTCACGGCTGGCCCCTGGGGGTTTACAAGACTGGCCTCTGGGGACTCACAAGGCTGGCCTTTGGGGTTCACAAGAATTGCCTCTTGAGGCTCACAAGGATGGCGTTTGGAGGTTTAAAAGACTGGCCTCTGGTGGTTCAAAAGACTGGCCCCTGGGGTTCTCAAGACTGGCTTCTGGAGGTTCTCAGAGCTGGACTCTGGGGGTTTACAAGTCTAGCCTTTGAGGACTCACAAATTTGGCCTTTGGGGTTCACAAAGCTGGCCTTTTGGGGCTCTCTGGAGGTTCACAAGACTGGCGTCTGGAGGCTCACAAGACTGGACTCTGGGGCTCACAAAACTGGCCTCTGGGGGTTCACAAGGCTGGTGTTTGGGGTTCACAAGGCTAGCCTCTGGAGGTTCGCAACGCTGGCCTCTGGGGTTCATAAGGCTAGCATTTGGCGGTTCACAAGGCTGGCCTCTGGGGCTCACAAGGCACTGCCTCTGGTGAAAGGGCATCAAAATTATTTTTGCACATAATGTAGTTTAACAATATTCAACACCGTCAATTCCATAGCCAGGATTTCCAAACAGTGCGGGATAATATCAGGGTGGACCCACTTTACACGTGAATTTCAACAATGTGGACCCAACTTACGCAAAAATATGAAAAATCTGGACCCATTTTCTTAAAATTTTACCCATTTTAAGCTACATATGAGAAATCTAGACCCGTTTTTCAAAAAGTGGACCCATTTTATGTATAAAATTACATAATTTGAACCCATTTTTAAAAATGTGGACCCATTCTTTGTGGACCCATTAGAAAAATGGTGTGGAACTGTCCCAACTGGCTACGGCATTTAACACCGTCAACAAGATTCTTGTTTATTTTTGTTTGCAGTGTCCTTATCATCCAAGTTGTACCTGATGGACCACAATACGAGGTGGTTGTAAGAGGAAAAGCAACCCCCTACGCTTCAAAGTCCAAAGCACCATCAACTCCACCTATTCTATGCACTAAACAGTTTGTAGTGTGGGGAGGAGTACCAGTTGGCAGAGCACTCCAGCAGAAGATGGTGCTAAAGAACAACTCAGAGACTCAGCTAATGAAATTGAAATTGTCAATCAGGGGAAATACTCAAGATTTTCAGGTAGGCTCAAATTATTAATCAATCAACCAATCAATCATTTCTACTATCATTTTTAAAAATCCAGTGTGCGAGAGTTTTTAACAGAGAAATCACAGGATTGTTGCTGAGAAAAAAATGTCTTGTAATCTGAAATCTTTTTCAGATTCAATTCGTTCGCCATATTTTATAATATAATTAGTTTCACCAAACAGCATATAAATTCAAATTGTTCAATCAGAAATGAAGTTGAAGATAATATTATAGCAAATTCCTTTGAAAACACCCATTTGAAAAGAAGAATCAAGTAAATGTATGTTAAACAATATTTATTGTAATATGTTGATATTGTAGAACTTTCAATTTACAACAATGTCTACAAACTGCGTTTCAGCTTCAGAGTTCTTTTGGACAGCAAGAAAAACTGACAGACAACCGGCAAGTTCTTCTCAAGCCCTCAGAGGAGTTTCCAGTACACATCCTGTTTGCGCCAACTTCAGAAGGCACCATGCAGGGAACACTAGTCATCAAACCAAACTCTGGCAACACAAAGTTTACAGTAAGCTATTAAATGTTTACTTATCCTCTTTTGATGACTTGTACCTGATGATTTTTCTGGTTGATGCGGTGTTCAACAAAGCCCCGCCCTTTCGATTTTGTCGCTAAGATCACAAAATGACAGGTTTTTGAAAAAGAAAAATGGCTGAGCGTGTATTCATCGTAAATCTGACTTGTGTCTTATGGGACATGTGCCTATTCCTGGCCCCGCCTATTGAATATCAAATTCTGATTGGTCAATTGTGAAGTTAGATTGACACTGGAAGGACCCCACTTTGCATGCAGTGCTACCAATTAATTAGTTTTAAATTTATTATGTCCAGTCTTTGCGAACAAAAACTAATTTCAGATTAATAATGCTGTCTAGATAGTCTCTGTATACAAGACTAAGAAATTAATTTATTTTAAATTAATGAAGTCTAGACTCTACCAACAATGCTAGTGAAAATAATAAAAAATTATGAATGCTGCCCTCGTCTATGCAAACAATGATAAACTAAGAAAAATAATTAATCTTTACAAATTAATATTCCCTGGCCTCTGCAAACAATGCTAAGTAATTGAATTTAAATTATTAATGTCTAGTGTCTGAAAATAATTAGTTAATACATTTTGAATTAATAATGTCTAGTCTCTCTGTAAACAATGCTTAGTAATTAATCAATTTTAATTGATTATTGATACTGGTGCATTATAAGTACAAAATATTAATATTATTTTATATTTTTCGTATGGTTTTATATTATTCATATTTTTTGATATTAATATTTTTGATATTTTTAATATTTTATATTTTTTATTTTCTTATTGTTCATTGTTGCTGCTACTGTGGTTATTTGCTAAAAATATGAATACTAAATGTTGCTGCTACTGTTGTTATTTGCTAAAAATATGAATACTAAATGTTGCTGCTACTGTTGTTATTTGCAAAACTATGAATACTAAATTGAAAATTAAATTGATAATGAATATTGTTAATGGTTATACATTTTTATAGCTCTAAATCTATGCACTTGTTGTCTACTCTCTATAAACAATTCCAAGAAATTTAATTTGACATTAATTATATTGTCTGGGCTTTACCTAATAAGTAAATATTGCTGTCTGATCTCTGCAAACAATGATGACAAATTAATTTATTTTACCTGAGAATAATCAATCTGTTCTCTAAAGCAAGTAATGTCATCAACGCCATCATCATTTATTTTTCCTGTTCATTGTTCTAGTTGGTTGAATGTTCATTTTCCACCATGAGCAAGTTTATAAACAGTGCTAAGAAATTATTTCATTTTGAATGAATAAGGCTGTCTGTTCATTGCAAACAATGTCAAGTAATTAATGTATTTTAAGTATATAATGCTGTCTAGTCTCAACAGACTGTTCTAAGAAATTATTGATTTAATATTAATAATTATCTCTGGTCTCTGTAGACAGAACTACAATATTGGTTTGATTTATATTTAAAGGAATATTGTTGATTAGTCTGCAAACACTGCTAAGAAATAGATTAATTTTAATTGAGCATATTTCTTTCTAGTTCTAAACATTACCATGATCTATTTTTTTCCTTCTACTTTTTGCAGTTGATTAAGTGCCAAGGGTCATTTTCACCATAGGTGACAATCATGTTTAATTTCACATTTCTCTTTGTATGAAAGACTATGAAAATAATTAACTTTAAATGAATAATATTGTCTACTCGCTGTAAATTGTTTATTTTGTATAAAAACAATGCCTAGAAATTAATTACTTTAAAATGAATGATGGTGTTCAATCTCTGCAGATGGTGCTTAGACATTAATATATTTTAAATTAATAATTTTGTTTAGTCCCTGCAAACAATTCCAAGACATTATTTAAAAAAAAAATAATATTGCTGTTTAGTCTCTGTAATAAACAATGTCAAGAAATTAATTTATTTTATGTAAATATTACTGTCTAGCCTCTGGATCCAGTATACTGGATATTCCTGGGCCTGTTTAGGCAGTGTGAATAGTCTGTAAATCAATTAAAATTGGAATTGCATTAAGCTCTGTCTAGACTATCAAATTGTCTTTGAGAGATAACTGCTGTATGCCCATATATAGTCATGATGTGCCTATATATGGTCATGATGTGCCTATATATGGTCATGATGTGATGTCATCATGACCATATTTAGGCATGTCACATGTTTTTGTCAAAGGTCATTTGATGGACTGGACAGGGCTGTAAGATTTGTCCACTCTATCAAATGTTATGTGACAAATAACTGATATGCCCATATTTGGATGTAATATGACATAATCTTGACCATATATGGAAGTGTAGACTGAGCTTAATTTGATCTATTCAAATGTGCTGTTAAATATTTTCTTTATTCAAATCAGACAGTAAAAATTGTTATGTGAATAATGATGTGTAATATCTGCAATGATATACACTGTATAAGAAATTAATATATTTTTAGGGAAGATAATTGAGGATGCTTGATATCTTATAGGTGCCATTGTCTGGGTATGGTGGCGTGAGTAGTATAATTTTGAATGGCCTCACACATGTTGGTGATACATACTTGTCAAATATAATGAATGTGACTGCTGGGAAGATTAGAACCCTGTCATTTGAAGCCCTGAACACAGGTTCAAGGGCAGCTTTTGTTAAGATCATCCCATTTGCTGGTAAGTTCTACATCTTACATAAAAAAAATAGTTATCCAGAAGTATAAAAAGTGATTTTGATTTAATTTGATTTATTCAGTTCCACAAATAACATTACATAAAATGAGCAAGCATAAAAATTACAAATACAAGTACAAGTTATTATTTACATCATTTACTATGAAAAATATTTTTATACAAAGACACCTTTTAAGATTATTAATATTTAAAAAATTCAAACCAGGGAACAACAACCTGTAAGCGTAATCATTTACTGTTGGACCACTTTGCTCCCATATACCATAGGGAATAGATATATTTTATTTAATTTTTGTATTATGGAACGTATTGTTTAGAAATTATTTATTTATTTATTTTTTTTTTTGCAGATCTGAAAGCAAGTGAAAAGCTAGAATCAAAGAGAATCAGCATCAAACCAAACGAGTTTATTTTGCAAAAAGAAAAACTCCAGAAAATTACTTTGACGTTACATTTAACTAAAACGGACGAAGTTCTGTGCTGTCAGCAATCACATCTATTGTGTGCAGTTGGTATTTTCTATGGAGATGAGATCACAAGACACCAGTTTCGACGGTAGTCCATTTTAATATGCTGATATAATATGTTAGATTTATATAGCTCCCTGGGAGTGTATTCCATAAAGTTGCAGCAGCTAAATCAGTGCATTTTGGCATTTAACCCTACAAGGTACACATTTACTCCTGGGTAGAGAGATGCAATGCAGATAAAGTGTCTTGCCCAAGGACACAAGTGAAATGCACAGCGAGGGATTGCAACCCCAACCTCGAGGTTGGGAAACCAAACCGTTCCCACTGCGACAAACCACTTCTATCCATATCCACCTATGAATGAGTATACTCTTAGTGGCATTGAAGAGATGAGTGTACTCGTCGTTTTATTTATTTATATTGTTTATTTCAACAACGTTTAACTACGTTTAGACAAGCACCAGCTTTGTTTAGATGTGGGTGTGCTCCTATTTACATTGAAACAGGCAGATATAATAATATCCCTACGGATGAACGAATGTGCCCTTTATGTAATAATGGTATCGAGGACGAATTTCACTGTTTTATGATTTGTATGCATTATGATTCTCTAAGAAAGGTGTTATATTCCAAATTAACTAACACACATCCGACATTCATTTCATTATCTGATACTTATAAGTTTATCTTCTTGATGTCCAATGGTGACCGCTGTTATTTAGTTGCTAAATATGCCCACAGTATTCTAGAATCTCGTTGCATGGGGGGTGGGGGTTAGGAGTACACTTGTGTTGGCAGGTGTTGGGGGACTAGTAGACAGAGAAAATTAAATATAGTATTGCATATAAGTTCTTTGTCTTATTTTAAGCAGAATTGTAAGAAGTGAGGGAAAATATGAAATATATTTGTATTGGAGTTGAACGTACAGTCATAAAATATGAAGGCAAGCTCTTTAACCACAATGCCATGACGAATTTCCTTCAATTATTTCTTACAGCGCTCAGAAAACAGGAACCGCAAAAAAAGTCGTATTGTCCAGCAGTAACCCACTGAAGGATGTTGTGTTTGATAAACCGTTCTTCAACGAGGAAAACATAGACGAAAAGTGCAATCTACCACCAACACCAAATGACAGCCAGCTGTTCTATTCATGTATGTCGCGATTAATGGTGTCCCTGATTGGCGCGTCAAAAGAAGCCGATGAGAGTATTCAATACGAAGGAGACTGGAACCTGAAACAGACATCAGAATTTGATAACCAAATGCAAACTTTACCCAGGAGTAAAGATACTGGCAAAGAAAGGTACATTTTTTTCCCCTAAATATCTTCTATATATAAATGTTACTTATTATTTTACATAGAGCATCTCAGGAGTGGATCCAGGGGGGTGGGGCCTCAAGTATTAGGGGCCCCCCCCCAAAAAAAAAGAAGAAAAAAAAAGAAAAGGAGAAAGAAAGGAGTATGGTGCTCCAAAATAAGATTTGAATTCCATGTACCAAGTGGTCAAGCCTTTCTTAACCATTTCTTGTTTAAATTTTATTTTTTTAAAAATCTGTTTATTTTTTTATCATAGGATTAGGCTGACATCAAATTCTCCACCAAATAAGGAAACACCTGCACCACCCTCTTCCCACAATGCAATATTGTCTTCAGTCATCTCGTCCAATAGTGACTCAGGTCCCTGGAGCATTCAGCCAGAACAGCTGGTGTTACACGCGCAATCCCATACTGTCAGCAAGGGACGGGTTCAAGTCATCAACTACACAGACAGATCGCTCAGGTATGTACCCTTTAATACGGTTTTGTGTGATTACTTTTTTCATAATATTAAATTGTTAATCTAATCTTGCTTTTACTTCTATTTTTAGCTTTGAGTTGACTTGGCCTGGACACTGCTTAACCGTAACACCTCAGACTGGGGTAGTGGAACCTCGTAGCCAGATCTTGGTGTTGGTTAGCCCAAGCCCTGCTCTAGCTTCCAGGGGCGTTCAGCTGCCTTGGGGTGGAAGTGTGTATATTAAGTGTGATGGAATCTTAAAGGCAAGTAGTTATATATTTCTTTTGATTATTATGTATACAAACAAAAGTAAACTGCCCAGTAATTGTATACCTCCCTCAACACTATAAAGATTTATGTAGCAGATAACTGATCTTCCAATATATAGGTGCAATATGACATTAGTATGCCCATATATGGGTATGATGTGATGTCACTATGCCAATATGTGGATGTGATATGAAATCATATTGCTCATGTATGAATGTATTATGACATCAAATGCCCATACATGCTGGACATACTCTTTTTTTTTGTTTTATGTGACAAACCCAACAAACAATGTTTGATAGTGTATGCCTCTTTTAGTCATAAATCATAATATCATATACAGTACAGTAATCTCCCAATTACGAACCTCCCAATTACAAAATCTCGATTTTACAAACCCAATTTGCGACGATAACGACGATATCCTCAAAAGTAATATAAAATGTTATATCAGCTAAGAAAGAAAACATTTAAACCAATAAAGTAACATAAAACTAAGTTTAAAGCAAGAAATATCAATCGTTTTCAGCCAAAATATATTACATTTGAGCTGTGCGTGCTTGTTCAGGTATACTGTTCAGTAAATCTCACTTTTTGTTCATTTGGGGTGCTATTCGCATGGCTTTGCGATTTTTATGAAAAGAATAATAACACTAGTTTTGACCATTATTTGGTCATGTTTTCATTCGGAAATCACTTCAAATGAAAATTTAATAGTGAGCACAGGTAATTTTGGCTTCTGAAAGGTATTATTTTGTTGCAGAAAACAGTTAAATCCAAGTCATTTTTCATGACAAAACTTTGCTCCCATGGTGAAGCTTAGGCCCAATACTTTGTAGCATAGTCCTAGGGCTACCCTTTATCACACTGAGATGCTATGAAAATTCGAACTCTCTGAATTACAAATTTTTTCAATTATGAACTCTGTTCGGACAGAGGGGTACGTAATTGGGAGATGTTACTGTAGATCAGACAAAATATTTTCAGCCCGCTTCAAATTGAGATAATGATAAATTGTTATAATTACAGGAACAAAAGTAAATGAACCTTGTCTGTCTACATCCTAGTCACAAGTCTAGAGTCAAGATAAATATTTATTCGGAAGCTGTATATTACTCATATACTATGTAATAGGATACTGTTAAAAAAATTTTTCAGAAAAAAAATCTGGAGTCATATTCTTGATTCTTATCTAATATTTAATTTCAGATATTGAATCCTGCCATAAATCGTAGACATAGATCCTTTAGCATTTATCTAGATGTGATGTTTTTCTATTCATTTAATTGCATTTGCACAAAAAAGAAAAATAAGGGGATATTGTATAATTATAATAACCTACATTCTTCTGAGGGGTTGTCAGTGTAAATATTCTCCAACCCATAATCATCTGTCTCAGACTGTTGTAAAAGTAAATATCCTGATTTTTAAAAATCTTTTCATTGGCTGTGATGCAGATAGACGCACCCACTTAAATGAATTCACCTTCAGCAATGAGATGATCTGCTTTGTTGTTAATCTTTTTGCAAAGGCCTTTGCAGGACTTGGTTAGCTAATAATATATCATTTAAATCTTTGATTGCCTAGAGGGTACTGCAAAAATTTTACTTGATTTACAAATGTTATGTAGACATGTAACAAGGGCAATAATCATGTGTCAGTGGTCAAGAATCACTTAGTAATGGGCAGTAATCATGTGGCAACCGTTAATATTGTACCATTGTGAAAATTTATTGCTGATTTAGTGAGTAGAAAATTGAAAGTAAAATGATGATGTCATTATTGATTTATACATGATATATGATATCATATGGTTGCCTTCAGACATTTCTGATCATATAAATTATATCATAGCTACTAAAAATTAATGCTCTTATAGTTGATCAGACGTGTCTCATCAAAGATTGTCTGCTGAGTCTATGATAAGAAAAAAAATATATTAGTCTATGCCTGGCTTAGCTGTGATTGCTAACAGTTAAAATGTATTGAATGCATAGAGGCAATAACAGTATGTGAGAAGGTATTATAAATACATGACATCCTTGAAGTAGGTTACGTAAGAAATCATTCACCGCTGAATCCAGTCTGTCGCATATACTCATTAATTTTAATCTCACAAAATCTATTGCGTTTAATTTGATGTTATCTGCCTAAGTCATATATATAATGAATAATTTTGATTAAATGTTGGTGGAGTCTGTCTAGGGAATATGATTCATATCGATAGGAAAACATGAGCGCTCATGTGTAAACATGTTGCAGACTAACAAATGAGTGTTGCACGATGTTGTAATAACTTATGTGAGAAAACAGACCATGAAGCGGAAAGGATGTAGAGAAAGAACAGATTGCGATTTAACAAAAGAGAAAACCTTGATAGGTCATCCGAACAGCTCTCTCGTTATACTCTGTCAGAACCAAACTCAAGAATCTGTACATTTCTTTCACCAGTAATATGTAGCAGCAAGTGTTATGTTTGTGTTGCTTCTTTTCTGTTTTATTCTTTTAAAATCTTTTCTTTTTTAATGATTGTTAAGACTTCTGAAAGCATTCTTTAAGTACTGTTTCACTAAATTCCAACAAGTATAATATAATAATGATAATGATAATATTACTACTACTACTACTACTACTACTACTACTAATAATAATAATAATAATAATTTAAGTCTTATATAATGTTGCTTCTTGATATAATCTTTTCTGTTTTATTCTTTTAAAATCTTTTCTTTTTTAATGATTGTTAAGACTTCTGAAAGTATTCTTTAAATACTGTTTCACTAAATTCCAACAAGTATAATATAATAATGATAATGATAATATTACTACTACTACTACTACTACTACTAATAATAATAATAATAATAATAATAATAATAATAATTATATAATGTTGCATAATTCAAGAAAGTTGCCTCTATAGGCTTTACATACAAAAAGAAACATAACCATGAAATATCCTATTACTACAAAGAAAACTAATAAAGAAAATGGCATAAAAAGCAGGAGAATCATTTTCACTGCTCTGTTCTCCATCAATTTGAAGCCCTAGAAGTAATAGGGGCTCACTGGAACAGTACTCACAGGAGCTCTTGATAAAATGATATCTACCTAGCCTATATATTTCAAATTACATAAATTATGGAGGTATATTATGTAATGAAGAATTATAATTTCTTAATGATCTGTAAACTTGAAGCCTTAGTATGAGGCATTGGCTAAGAAATTGTTTTTGTATAGAACAAAACCATAATTTTCAGAGATTGAACTCTGGACTTGTAGATTAAAAGGCAAGCACTCTGCGTATAATGCCATAGCACTAACTTAATTTTTTTTTGCTCTGTTCTTCAGAATCAATCAATGTTTTGCATTTTGAAACATAATTTTTGCAACCTTTTTAGTGGAGCTGATTATCTGGCACCCTTTTTGTGGAGTGGATTTTTATTGTAAAAATGATTTTGTTAACATTCTATTGGACATGGAAACATCCAGATGCAGAATGAACCTAAAGTTAACTCGACAGATCTGTTGCACATGCATGGAGTGGAGGTGGAGTTGAATGGCTTAGTGGTTAAGATGCTTTCCTTCTAATCCCAGGGTCCTAGGTTCAACTCCTGTCACAGAAGGACTTTTTCTCACAACTAAAATAACTCCATCCCCTATGCTAAAATAAGAGAATAGTTTTAAAAAGCATCGTTCCACCTTTTAAGTGGCATGTGTACTAGAAATACATGTGGCAATGGGAAGGAAATATATAAAAATTGTAGGTCTACCACAATACTGAATTTCATTGTTTTTTTGTTTTTTTTTCTTGCAGGAGATAAAAGTTCAAATCAGGGAAGACATGGCATTAGACACATCCATTTATCCATCAGCTGGACATCTACAGTCACTTAACAACCAACCGTCCACCCCCGCAGAGACAATAGGAGTGCCCAAGCTTCCTGTAACACAACAGATTATAGTTAAATCCAGGACAGTGTCTTTTGAGGAAACGAGGGTGGGGAATGTCGCAGGTAAAGTTTGATTAAAATCTAGTATGTTTTTGTGGTTGTATTAATTTTACATATAATACAGTACTACTTTAATTCAGATTTTTTTTTTTATTGTATCAAGTTGCCTATCAAATTGATAAGATTAATTGTTACATTTTTAATTCAATTTAAAATTGAAATTAATTACAATATCAATTATTGTTGCAGATAAACATACAAGGAATCTAGAATGCTTTTTTTTAAATCAACATTTTACATAATTTAATTTGATATTTACTGGTTTGCTTTTTTGTACTGTGATATTATAAAATTGCCAATTAACTTACAAGATAAAACAATAAGTTTATGATGTATGAAAATATATAGATGCATATACTGTACAGAATAAAAATAAGCAAACAGAAAAGAATGCTATGGTGATGTGGATGCCTTAAATGAATTCTTAATTAGTTGAAGACATCTGGAGATTTCATTATTGATGGCAGACACAGGCAGGGGCTTCAGAGCTCCCTGTTCATGCCACTTGTCACTGGAGAGGTTGGCCAAGGAAGACATGGAATGAGGTGGTGTGAGGTAATCATAAAGCTGGTTCCAGATAGACTAGTGGAGTAATGCTATTATGTGAACTCTTTTAAATACATGCCACCATGGAGCAGTAAATAAAAAATATGATGAAACCCAAAATATAAATAGTCAAAAAAACCACAGAAAACCCCAAAACTCAATTAAAGTGTTGAACAAAGTACTATAAATAATAAAAGATATAAAATGCATACTTTACATTGCTTTGCAGAAGCAACAGTTGAATTTAAAAGCATGACAACTGAAGTGCTACGGTGGTGTTTATCATCATTCGCACCAGCGTATGTGAAGCAAGATGGCGGGGAGGTGTTCCGTGCTACGTATTCTGCCTTTCGATTTGCCAAACAATCGGGGTCCATTCTGTCTGGACAAGAATTTAAGGTGACTAACCTCTCAGCAACTTAACTT